CCGCGGCTGCGCACTCCCTGAACCCATCCCGTTTCCGATCTGGCCAAAGCCCCGCCCCCTGTGTTCCTGGGTCGTCTTTCCCCCACTTTCCAGGGGCCTGGAAGGTTCTGGGGAAATTGCTAGAAGAGACCTCAGGGACCCTTCTAAAGATGGAACAGCTAAAGGACGGGGCTGGGCCAGAAGGGTGAGAAAAAGAAGGACCTCCTGAGGGGGGGACCCAAAACCTTATAGGGAGAGCGTTGAACAGACCCAGAGAGAGTATCGAAAAAAAAAAAAAAAGTGGCTCAGGTATCATTATGTAGAAACAGAATCTTAGAGGGTCTTGGTGACAGAGTTGAGTGAGATACTTAGAAATAGGGAGAGAATTAGAAACAGATACTCATTGGTCAAACAGAGAAATGTCTAAAAATGAACCAGTAGGCCAGGCGCCGCCCAAAATTTCAGTGGTTATGGCGCCAGCCACATGCACCTAGGCTGGTGGATTCGAGCCCAGGCCAGCTAAACAATGACAACTGCAACCAAAAAATAGCGGAGCGTTGTGGCGGGCGCCTGTAGTCCCAGCCACCTGGGAGGCTGAGGCAAAATCACTTGAGCACAAGAGTTTGAGGTTGCTGTGAGCTGTGACGGCCCAGTACTCTACTGAGGTCGACATAGTGAGACTCTGTCTCAAAAAAAAAAAAGTAAATAAATAAATAAAGAAGAACCAGGAGACTTGAAGATGCCAGAGACGGCCGTAGGGGCAGAAAAATGATAATTGTCCACAGTTTTTGAGCACTTACCAGTCCCAGCACTGTTATACGTACCAGTGATACCACTGAAAGCCATCTTTGGATTTGAAAAAGGTTCAGGATGGGAAAATGACTTCCCAAAGACAACAGGAATTGAACCTGAGTTCTCTCTGATACTGAAGTTAATGGCAGAGTTGCCTGTCTGTAAAGAGACATGGGTGAAAATAGAGAAGGACAGGGAGGGGGTGAAGAAGTCCAAGATGGAAAGGCTGAGGATGGAGAGAGAAGATCCTGGCAGAAGCGCAGGACAGCCAGTAGCAGTAAAGAGAGAAATACAGAGATGGTAAGACCCACTGACCTGTCTTGCTGTCTGTCATTCTAGGAACAACCTGACCCTGCCATCAGCTGGGACTGAGTCGTGGCCCTCTGCACCCATCCCAGCCCTGCCACCCCCGTTCCTGAGTGCCCCAGATCCTGCCCATCTGGGGCTCCCTGAGAGCCTAGCCTCTGTTACTGTCCCAGTCCGGCTGGACACCCTCTCCTGCCTTCTACAAAGTGCCCTGCTGGGGGCTTACAATCTCCAGCAGTCCATGCCCTCCTGCCCCTGCTGCCCCCAGGCATGGCACACCCAACCAGGCACAGCCCGGAGGCCTCCCAGAGGACGTGGGGGGTGGGAAGTCCGACGCAGGCCAGGCTGTGGCCAGGGCCAGCAGCGATGGGGCCCTGGGAGAGCTGAACAGTGGGATAGGGGCTGGGCAGAGGTCCCTGGGGCTGGCCCCAGGACCCCACCCAAAATGCCATTGACACTGCCCACCCAGGATGGGAAGAAGGAAGCCCAAGGTCTGGAACCACCCCCGGACACACCACCTGCCTCAGAAGACTGGGAGACGGAGTACTAGGATGCTGGAGGGCCCAGGACCTGGGACTCCAGTTACCTAGGGGATTTTCCTGGAGCCCATAGTGACCGTAGTCCTGTCCAAGATTCCCCAAGAAACATCCTTTTCTTATCCTTGCCCTCATCCCCAAACCATGGCCTCACAAGTAGGTCCTTTGACTCACCTAATAAGCCTGACCTAAGTCATCTGACTCAGAATCTTAAGCCAGGAGAAAACCCTGAGCCTCACACCAATGCCCAAGCCCATGCTTGTCCCGCTCATAGCCTCAACCCAGTCCCAGTGCCACCCCCAGCAACAACTACAGTCTTGACCTCATTCTTGACCTCCGACCTTGTTTCTAACCCCAAAGCCACTGCCTTCTGCCTGTCGAGCCTAGCCCCATCCCACTCTCTGCACCAAATCCCAAGCCCATTCACCCCATCCTAGTCCCAGACCCTCCTGCACCTCAGCCCTACCCAGTCCTTGTCTTTAACTTCTCCTAAACTTCAGCCTCGTATAGCCCATCCTCAACCCCCTTCTTATCACAACCTCTGTGTGACATCCCATGATGCCACCCCACAACCCCATGGGCCCAATGTGTCCAGATGCCTGTAGCACCTCACCCTATTCCTGCTCTTCAGGTGGGAAGCCTGGTTGAACAATAAATGCTGGTTGTCCCTCTATCTCCTGTGTCTGTGTGTGCTTACATGGTGGGGCTGTGAGCAAGGCTTGTGCAAAGGTGTAGGATCTGGGGAGGGTCACAGAGGGAGGTCAGGGAGCCAGGGGCTGGGGGCAGGGAGCCACCAGATCCCTGCTTCAGCGAATTCCACTGAGGGCCTCTGCCACCGCTGCACTTCTGCTTACTGGAAGCTGCTGGGCCACAGGGCCATTGTGTGGGGAGGCTTAAGGGATTTGGGGGACCCAAGGGGCAGAGAGGCTGGCAGCCTGGCTCAGCTCAGTCTGCACAGAGGGGCCGAGGCAGAAGGAGGGCTTGGGGCAGGCTCTGCTGTTCAGGTAGGCACCAGGCATGGGACCTGCAGCCCACCTTCCCGAGGGCCCTGGGATCTGGACTCCTTTCCGGTCCTTTTGGCTCCTTCCAGCTCCTTCCTCTCCCAGGGACCTGGTGGCCCAGTCTCCGGTCCCCTCCTCACCTAGGACTCAGGAAACCAGGACCATTCCTTGCTCAGAACCTAAAAGTCCAACTCCCCAGGCCCTCCTCTCTTAGACCCAGGGTTCCGGGCCTCCAGGCCCTCTCCCCAGGACCTAGGGGTTAGGTGTTCAGCTCTGTTTCCCAGGAACCGGGGTTCCCACTCCACCAGCCTCTTCCTCTCCCAGGACCCAGGAATCCAGCTCCCAACCCTTTTTCTCCCCTTCCCCACAGATCACCATGTACAGCTTCATGGGTGGTGGCCTCTTCTGTGCCTGGGTGGGGACCATTCTCCTGGTGGTGGCCACGGCAACAGACCACTGGATGCAGTACCGGCTGTCGGGGTCCTTTGCCCACCAGGGCCTGTGGCGGTACTGCCTGGGCAGCAAGTGCTACCTGCAGACAGAGAGCATCGGTGAGCCCCATGGGTCTAGGCTGGGCCTGGGGCCATAGCCCCTGCAGGGCAGAGCCTCAGGGCCCACGGGCCACCTGTAGCCCAGACACAAAGCCCTGTGGCTCAGAGAGGAAAAGGGACCAACCAGTCTGTCACTCAGCGTGGGAGGGGCAGAACTGGGATCTTAGGGTTGTTTCCTAGTTGCAATTACAGGGTGTGCTGCTTTAGAGGTTAGGCTGAGAGAGGTGGCATTTCCTGGCACACAGGAGGTGTCAGGCATAGCAGTTGGGGCTGGGCTGCCAGAGCAGCATTTTCTAAATATCTACTGTGGACCAGGAGTTATATTAGGTACTGGGGCATACAGATGCAATATGGGCACTGAGTTTGCTAAATACTGGGTGAAGTATATTTTTACTACCTAACTATGTGCCAAGCCAGGGGGGTGCCTGTGGCTTAGTAGGTTGGGTGCCAGCCCCATATACCGAGGATGGTGGGTTCAAACCCAGCCCCAGCCAAATTGCAACAAAAAATAGCCGGGCATTGTGGCCGGCGCCTGTGGTCCCAGCTACTCGGGAGGCTGAGGCAAGAGAATTGCCCAGGAGTTGGAGGTTTCTGTGAGCTATGATGCCACAGCACTCTACCAAAGGTGATAAAGTGAGACTCTGTCTCTACAAAAAAAAAAAACCAGTACCAAGCTGTGTTATATACATACCTAGAGAGAGATACATAGTGATATATAGTATATTCCATGATATATGTCATACATATTAAAGAATTTATAATATATACTATATTATGTATATCACACTAAATATTACATGATGAATTAATAATATATAATATATTGTGCATTATATCTCACACTAAATATTACATAATATATTAATAATATATAATGTAGTATATATAACATTCTATTATACTATATATTGTATAATAAATTAACATATGTGCAATATATTTTACAACACACATATAATACATTAATAAATTAATAATATATAATATTGACCAGGCATGGTGATTCATACCTATAATCCCAACACTCTGGGAGGCTCTGGATTGAGGATTGCTTGACCTCAGTAGTTCAAGACTAGCTTGAGCAAGAGGGAGACTCTGTCTTTACTAAAAATAAAATATATATAATATATTTCATATTACTACTACCAGTAGTAATAACAATAAAATGCAACATTTTATTTGTGTGCTTACCATGCCTGATATGCTATGATAAGCACTTCACATGGATTAATTCTATTCCATCTTTCAACAACACTAAGGGGGCAGTTTGATGGGGAGAACATAAGATTCGATTTCAAAATTCAAACATTCTCTTGGAGGGGTTAAGAAGAGCTACTCCCCCTCACTGAGCCCTGAGTGTGACAGGCATATGCAGGGACCTCCCCAGCCCCATCCCACTGAACCAGCCCCAAGAGAGGAGGTATAACGCTCATTTGCTGGAGCAGTGGACTGAGGCAGAGAGAAGTGGAAAGGCTTGTCCTGGGCAGTGGAAAGGCTTCTGTGGAAAGGATCCACAGTGGAAAGGATCCTGAGCAGATCCCAGACGCCTGACTTCACCCATTCCTCTCAGTTCCGGCAGTCTCATTTGTGACATTTCTACCATTTCTCCTGTTTCAGACTGAGAATGCCCCAAGGGACAGATCAGTTCCATATCTTATCTCTGCTGAGGGAGAAAGAGGGAGGCTTGGTAAAGATCTTTGATTCATTCAACATGCTTGGGACCACAAAAGAAATTAACACCTCAGGGACATGCCTCACCCTTGGGTATTTGTCAAAACAGCTGGCTTAACTTGCTCATGAACTGTGGCTTGCTCACCAAAATTAAAGCAGGAGTCCTTAGCTTGATTGTCAGGGGTGAAGTCCAACTGCCAATGTGTTTTGTTGGATCTTCCCAGTGTTTTTAAAGTTTCTGAATGAGTTGCCAATATTAAAAAATCAAGAGATCTGAAGCTCTTTTTGAAAAAAAAAAAAAAATCCAGCCAAGCATGTTGGCTCAGGGCTGTAATTCTAGCATTTTAGGAGGCTAAGGTAGGAGGAGTGCTTGAAGCTATGAGTTCAAGACCAGCCTGAGCAAGAGAGAGATCCCATCTCTACAAGAAGAGAAAAGAAAGAAAGAGAGAAAAGGAAAGAAGGAAGGAAGGAAGGAAGGAAGGAAGGAAGGAAGGAAGGAAGGAAGGAAGGTCATGTGTGGTATTGCATACCTGTAATCTTAGCACTCTGGGAGGTCAGAGGTGGGAGGATTGCTTGTGCTCAGGAGCTGAGATCAGCCTGAACAAGAGCAAGACCTGACTCTATTATAAATAGAAAAATTAGCCGGGCATTGTGGTGGGCACTTGTAGTCCCAAATACTTAGGGAGGCTGAATCAGGAGGATCACTTGAGCCCAGCAGTTTGAAGTTGTTGTGAGCTATGATGATGCCACTGTACTCTAGCCTGGGTGATAGAGTGAGACCTTGCCTCAAAACAAAAACAAACAAACAAAAAAGCCAGCCCAGAGGCCTGTAATGGAGACCAGCCTGAGCCAGACTGAATCCCCTCTCTTAAAAAAAAAGAAAAAAATAGCTGGGTATTATGGCAGGCGGCTATAGTCCTACCTACCC